CCCGGGCTCCGTCACCCTCAGAGGGAAGAAGTTCTTCCTCGGGTTCAGCTGGAGCTTCCTCTGCTTCAGTTTGTGCCCGTTGCCCCTTGTCCTGTCGCTGGGCACCACTGGAAAGAGTCTGGCCCCGTCCTCCTGACCCCCACCCTGCAGATATTTAGAGGCATTTCTAAGGTCCCCTCTCAGCCTTCTCTTCTCCAGGCTGAAGAGAGCCTCAGGGAGCTGCAGAGCAGGACCTCGCCTAAAATTGCCACGCAGGGTGAGGTGTTCAGACAGCGAACGCACGGCGTTTCACAGTGGGCTGTACTGCACTTCTTAAGCGTCGGTGCTTGGGGCTTTTCACGGAGGCACCCAACAAATGATCCACAACGATCCCTGGCTCGTCCAAAATGAGGATGAAGCCTTGTCCTTTAAAGATGCCTTCTGCTGATGCTGTGAACGGACACTAAAAAAAGTCTGCAGGCAGCCTAACGTACCCGAGCACAACTCCGTTAATTGTTATTTAGACTGAAATTGCTTTATTTCCTCATTTGTGTACAGCCCTGTGGAGGTACTGACCCGGTGGGTTGGTTTCAGGTCCCTTCAGGCTGCAGATGTAAACCTTACGAAGCCAAAGCTTTTACTGACTTGCTGGCAAATGCTGTTTGTGTCCCCCTCTGAACCTCCCCCTGCCCAGGCCGGTGTCTTGCTGGAGCCAGGCAGCGATGGGCAGCGTCTGACCCGGGGGATCAGCGCTCAAGGAAAAGCTCCCTCCCTGGCACCGACCGAGTGATGAAACTTGAGTTTAAAAATAATCTAATTGAGAGTACGGCCTTGGCGACCCACATTCGTCTTCGACAGAGAAACCAGGCTGCCTCATTTCTTCCCAGGAATAAAAAATCGGCGGTTTGGGTCTGCGAGGGGGGTGGGGGGTGCGCGCAGAGCTTTCCAGTGCGACCAGTTCAGACGCGCCCGTTCCTCCCGGTGTTAATGCCGGCGGGAGGTGTAACGTGCGTGTGGCTGCGGCCAGGTGGAGCCAG